AGCCAATATTGTACGAATATATTTTGCTACCTGGGCGGACGCGAATTTTGAACGATAAATCTGAACCCAAACATCATAAATCCATCAAGTAATCTCGCAAAGTGAAAACGTCCCAAACAATGGAAACAGTATGGAAGCTCAACAAGTGAATGATAAATATCCGAGACTAGAGAAGCGCCAGGGAGTGGAAAAGCTACACGGAAAAACCTGACAATGTCCTCAGACCCGATGCCAAATCGTAGCGGGAGAAAAACCGAAAACTTCCCCGGTGTCCCATCAAAACCCCTTAGACCAGCTGCAAAAGAACAAAAAATTTGCATCTTCTCATCTCATCAAGCCTTGGATAAATTGCGCTTATCTCAGTGTACCTGACCAGACTCGGGCAAGCAACAAGTGACTGGTTATCCCAACAAAAGATCCATCAAACAGGGGAAAATCGCGAGATAAACTCGACGGGAAACGGGATAGATAGAGCTTCTTTCGGATGACTGATTTTATGTGGCACGCTTTTACTATAATGGTGTTTGGATGGGAAAAGGGCGCAATTTCACGCCTCTCGGAAGTTATTTATGGCCCGCCGTTCGACGTGCTCTGTTCAGGGATTTTTTTACCTCGTAACGGCTATTAACCGGTACACAACTGAGATTCTTCAGCAGTCAAACACGCTGACCTAAAACTGTTCATGACATAATGCGGCTGGAAATGTTTAAATAGCTGCCTAGTTCGCAGCCTTGCAACATTAAAGCTCAGTAAACGTAAAGGCCACACCCTATTCACTGCGTTGTTTATTGTTCTTTGGCTCTCGGGTAAACAATCTCAACTATTCCGGACGCAATCTTCAGCGACTTTACAGTCTCGAATCGAATCGGGAGGCCGATTTGTTGCAGCAATGCTGCCACGGAGGCTTTCCTTTCAGTGAATTCATACTGAAAAATCCCGATGTTACGCCTCTATTGTAGCATTTGGTTTATAGTAACATGCTATCTTTAATCAGCTAAATGACTTCATAGCATTTGCTTGTAATCCTGGCTTTTCCCTTGCTCAGATTCCAAGATTTCGCTTGATTCATTTATTCGGCTCTTAAGCTTAACTTGCTCAGGTAGGAAACATGATGAATGTTAAATAAGTTGTTAAAATAAGCTATGAAGAGTTTCTTCTGGACGAGTGGCTTGCTTCAATTGCATCTTTCAGACCGAATCAATAGATTAAATGGATAATTATTTTCCAAAACGACTCAAAAGCTCGAAAAACTCATGCAAATATCGCGATTTAACCGCAATCCAAATTGGTTCAATCGCATTAAATGTTAACTAAAAGTCCCCGTTGTTTTAAATCGGCCCTGGTAAGTCGGTGGTGTGCGACAAGAACAGACTGATTTCCATGGCAACCGCCATGTTATTCTCTGCCTTGACTGCGACCGATTTTATCAGTTTGATTACGAGGTGGAGTGGAAAGTTTGATGCTGTTAAGCGGAACATGTTTGAGAATGCAAACCGCTTGTGCTACAAACTGTTTTTCTTTTTCTGGACTAATATACTTAAGGGAGTACCATTTGAAAAAATATAATGGCAGTCGTTTTTATTTGTGATCAAAAAATCCAGTTTCCAGACATTATCAGTCAAAACACATCACTTAAATCAAGATATCTTACCTTCAGGTCTTATCCTATCTTCATTGGTTCGACTATAAGGAGGTGGAGGCGTTTCTGAAACAATAGAATTTTCCTTGAGCATATGAAAAATCACGCAAAGCAACAAATGAGTAATAAGTGTGTTTGGGACTGGATTAAAAACTTCCTGTATTCTCGAAAAAATAGCCCTTTGTTCGGGTTTTTTAATGTCTCAAACCCGCTAACCAAA